ATCACTGAATATCTTCGGCATCCTCCTTCCCACATGGAAAATAATCAGTGCAAAGTGTTGAATAATCTTGTATTGGATTGTTTTTACGTACTGATGCTGTAATAACAGGCGACAGATTGTAGCGTTACACTTCTTCATTGGGATCGAGAACGCAGTATTTGAATATCTCTTGATAACGAAGATCATTTGCAGTTGTCGCTTCATGTTCGGCGGTACACATGGTCGTCTTCGCTTTGGACCGCCACAAGCTTTCAGTCCGTTGGTTGAGGCTCTTTCGTGTGAACTGGAAGTTTCTGAATGCTTTTCATTCGGTGACTTGCCAAAAAACACTTATTCGGGTCCTTCGACCTTACATCAAAATATGGAAGCATTCGTACCAACACCGGTGGATATCTCTTCGACAGTATTGCCACATTTTGCGATGGATATACACCAGAAGTTGGCCGAAAATTTGCATGAGCTATGGGCTATGCGAAAAATTGAATTGGGTTGGACGTTCGGTGAACAACGCGATGAAAGCCAACGCCAACATCCATGCTTAACGTCATTCGAGTTGTTGCCGATGAACGAAAAAAATTACAATGTGAATCTAGCAATCGACACAATGAAGTAAGCACTTCATTGAACAATAAGTAGTTGATTTTAGTAAGAAGATAACACGCAAAAAATGTTCATTATTCATTCATCTTGAGACGCATCATTCTATATTCGTTCGTTTATTCGAGGATAAGTAATTCGAACTCGTCAACGATATAATGTTATCCAGAATTTATAAGTAAACAAACTCGTTCATGAAACTATTTTATGTACAATAACCATCGACTGACCTGTGGTACAAATATTATTAGTGTGCTGAAATCTTATTTAGTTGCACACATGTGATAGATGCAATAGGCGCTTGTATTACTGCTTCTTGTTGATAAAATTAGGTTCCACCTATGAAAAATCTATGTCTCGGGACTGAAGAATCTACTGCTGTTGGCATACGATTCCATCTATCGTAGAGACAGAAGATGTGAGAGGAATTTCGGTATTTTTAAACAGGGGCATTGAAAGGATGTCGTATTGCTATTGTAAGATCCCTGAATGAATGAGAAAAGTATACATAGTAGTTTCGCGATAATTTTTCAGGACTATTGATGCGCTCGGTTACAATATGGTCACTGAAAAGCCCCCGGTACGCTTACGTCCAGTTCGATTGCCACAAAACTATCAGCAATTCAACGGCTACAAACCTCAACCGCTGGATGCACGTGAAATCGTGCTTGGTGACGATATGAAGCCTCTAGTGGACGCATTGGCCAAGAATACGCACAATGTGTGGGCGAGAGAGAAGATTAAACGTGGCTGGACATTTGGTTTGAATGAATATGTGGACTCGAATCAGAAACGTAGTCCGCATCTGTTGCCCTATGAAATGGTCGATCAACGTATCAAAGACGCGAATCGTGAATCTGCGATTGAATTCATT